CCAACCTTCAGCTACTCTGCCCCCACTCACGCGGGAGCTCCGCCGAGCTCCAGCGATGTGAGCGCCCTCACAAGTCTAGTGCGCTCCTCCTCTCCACGCACTCTCCACTACTCCTGCTTGCACCACCTGCTCCGGTTGCTAAGGGCGAGGGTAAGTGCGCGCGCCCCGCAGCTCCTGGGGCACGGATGCCGCCGTACGCCTGACATTGCCAGAGTAAGAAATGCATTCGCATTTAAAAGAACGTTATAGATATTATTCTGTGTGGCAGGAATAGCATAGTTCGAGACATAGATGTTGGACGTAAGGCAAAGTGCATTGACTATGGGTTAGTGAAGAAAGATAGTCCCTAATGGGGGGAAAACTGGGGCCAAACTAGCCACTAAGAACGTCGACCTAGACGTAGTATGAGTAAAATAGAGTGTATGATTCCGATGGAAAACATACACTACTTTATGAAAAAAAGACAATACTGTCATCGAGTGAGTGAACGAAACAGTAAATAAACTTATCTATGAAGCCGCCGTCTTAGTTAAGAGGTAAAGCGCTAAGCCAGTGAGTAAGAAAGCTCTCCCAATTCACCAAAGACTTCGTGCAAAGCGGCAGTACATGAACTTAACTAACTCAATAAGTAAAATGGAACTCGCAGAGCTAGCAAAGCTGGCCGACAAAAACAGCCATTGGCATAACAAACTACAACGTCGATGAGGTAAAGGCTGCAATGGTGAAAAGAGGTTGCATAAGAACAGATGAAAAAAAACTGTTTCAGAAGGGCGAAATGCACTCTCTAAACAATGAGCAAAGCATTGTAATTGCACCACAATCAAACTCAAGTGGAGATATTGCACACGTAAATACTGTCGAGAATAGAAAAGCCGTATGCTATGAACCCCGAAAAAAAGTTGCCGGAGATGACAAATTATTGGCCAATTATATTATAGGTGGAAAAGAATTTGATACGAAATCTAACGGCGACGCTTTGCTCTGCACTGCCTCAAAACGTCAAATATTCCAGTGGGGTGCAAACAAATGAAATTATAATAATACGCAAGAGAAGAGATAGAAAAGTTCTGTAGAATATTGGTCCTTCAGTGTACGCTGCGTGATGTCCAAGATATTTACAAAAATATTTATGAAAGTAAGTTTAACTAGAGAATATGATTAGGACCTAAACCAGCCTGTAGATGAAACTCCTGTTAGGAAAGAATACTCTAGATGGATCTTAGTCATGTGATTATCTCGTAACTGAGAAATCTACCTAATACAACAGATTCCCCTACTTAGCTTTCAGAGACTGTCAAAATGCACTAAGTCAGCGAGGAGCACCTTTAACGTATGCAGATGCCATTGCGAAAATTTGCTAGTTCTCACAGCCATCTTGCCCCTTCACAAAATCAGCAGTAAGATGTGATTTGAGCGATAAACTAGGCTCACGAGATCGGGGCTGATGTTTCGTCCATATACAGCTTCCATCTGGTAACCGCATTCATTGACGTTTGTATCTTGCACCGATCATACTGCCCTATGAATGGTCTGAGTGAAGCTGATTTGATGATGACGGACACGTTTCTCAAGTGTCTTAGTTAAAAGGCAGTCCGCATTTCAGGGAATCGCTGAAGTATTTAAGCTATCGTTATTTCATTGCACCAACTTGTACGACAACTGAAGGTCACGTCGAATAGGTCTTGTAGAAAGTTATGCCAAATATTAGAAGCATCTCATTTCAATTTTAACTAAGTGTATTTCGTAGAAGGCGTTGACCCTGGCATTGTCATTTTGCGATGTCGTTGTATTCGCTAGCTTTTTGATTAGCTGAAGTTCTTGCATAATTCCACACCATGGTGAAAACCGGAAAGTGTCCAGGGCTGCAGTGCAAGGACTGCTTTGCTTTCCCTTAATTGTTAGTCCTGAAGTCTCAAGCCAATTGTCTGGTTCTACAACGGCGTCATTGTAAACCAATCGGAAATGGCACCAGCCGCCTTCCGAAGCAGTGGAAGCTGACCAACCGAGTTCGACAATGTGGAATAATAGAAAATCTTCGCTGGGGTTACATTGCTGGACATCGCGAAAGTCCTGTATGGTGGTGAGTTCTGTACTTCGGGCAGTTTCAGCCATTCCGAGGCATTGTTTTCAGGGGCAGTCGGAGCTCTCACGATGACGATACTTGTTGAATGTCATGAGCAGCATCCTAATATAACCCATGCACCTCGGCTCTGCGAAATGGCCTTCAGATTGACCCACATTATGGCTTCCGGCCCGGCGGAAGACATCGTTAGACGAAGTTGTAATAAAAAAGAAGATCGAGGTTCTTTACCGTGTCCTCCATTCTGACCTCTTCTTTCTGTTTACTGCTCTGGCGTTCTGCACCGTTGCGCATTGCGTGTCGTGCCTTCTCTCTCGTCTTGCGTGCGTAGCGTTCCCACTCTCCCCCGCGTGTTTCCTGCTAGCTTTCGCACGCGACATCTAGCGCAAGCGCTCGCTAACCAGCTGTTCCTTCACGTTTTCCCTTCTTTATCTTATTTTCCCCCTAGGTTCTCTGCTGCTTTCTTGTTCTGCTTCTGCATGCCGTGTGCTCTTTTGTGTTTGACGTCTGCTTCAGCGTGCAACGCCAGCAGACGGCCTTGAGTCCACTGGTCATTGTCGTCGGGGCAGGTGACGTCAGCGCGCGTAACTGGCGCGGGTCCTTGTAGGGGCGCGCCAGAGTTCGTTCCGTTCTGCGCAGGCCTTCCATCCCTAACTGAGCAAGCGGGACGAGCTAATTGACACATGACGTGGCTGGGCTGTTTGTGACGCTTCGTGGCTGGCGCTGCAGTGGTTTCACGCTTAAGGAATTGTCTGTCTTTTACCCTTGATCTTCAGTGTATCTTTTTGAGGTTTGATGACTCTCAACTGACGCTTAAGTGGCTGATCGAGTTTTAATGGGGGCACAATGATTACCGTTGCTGACATAGTTTCAAAAGGTGTGTACTTACTGATGCACAAGGACCATCGGCGTTTGAATTCCTTTGTCTTTCTTTTGAAGCGAAAAAAGGCAGTGATGAGAGCCTTTATTGCTAAAAATCAAGGGTAAGAAGCAAAATTTAATTCATTAAGGTAACGTCAGCACGTGTAACTGGCCCGGGGCCTTGTAGAGGCACTCTTAGAGTTCGTTTTGTTGGAATGCCATGGTGTTTAGTCAATGTGGCAAGTGAGGCTTTTGGCAAGATGGTACGTTGTCGTTTTCAAGCACATATTTTGCTGGTCAAACGCACTTCCTGTTCAGTTCACTCTCCCTGGCAACAATACGTCACAATTCAACTTCTAAACTCTTCATAAGTTCATTGTGTCGTCCCCAGCGGCAAGAACTCGCAACATTTCATTGCAATACACAATAATTAACTAGCTTCGACGGCAACGTCAACGGTTTCTCACTGCTGACATGTTGAAGGCATTCGGTGGAAGTTCCTGGGTGTCAGTTCCTCTGATTTTATGCGGTCACCGAATAGTTAAACTTATCGGCTGCCCTGAATTTGGGTATGTACAGTGTGAAAAGTCCGTGTTGCTTCACCTTGCAATAATTTTACTGAATCCTGTGAGCTTTCCCGGAGTTATCTAAAGTAACTTATACCATCTTTATCTCTCTTAACTTTTGGGGACGAAAACTTACTCAGCTTTGGTGATTCTTTTTTTTTCTGGAATCTCGAGACGCGCGGTGGAGGAAGCGAAACACAAATAGCTTACACAGACGCATGTGCACATTCTTTTCACTCCGCCACTCTGATGTTCTGACAGACTTTAGGAAGCAACGAATAACCGGGACATGAGTGTATCCATGGGGTATCACAACAGCACTTCTCCTCAAATGTTTGATTGAGATCGGCAATATTGTCAGTCATCCCTATGAGTTCTTCGACTGCTGTACACAGGCTGCTTCATTTATATAAATTATAGTTCGTTCGAAACACAGGTACTTAAATGAAAGAAACAAACATTAGCAGAAAAACTTCTGTATGCGAAAAACTCTCGCCGGTTGCGTCCCAACTACACCTGCTTCGTCCAACTGTGCCTTGGAACGATTGAACAGTGAAAGCGCATGAAGTCAGCATTTGCCGGAGTGTAATGGGTTCGAAACATATCATATAATCACCTAGCCAGAAGCCAATCCAGGCGGGGGCTTCCGTGCTAGAATGTGCAAGAACTGTACCGGCGCTCGGCTTTCGCTCCTTCATCCTTTCCTGTGCCAGACATGCTAGTCGCGAACGCCTATAGCAGGTAGGCATGAGCTCCCGAGTTCGGTGTTCACTCTGGCATGTTTTCGTCCTGGTATTTTATACGAAACCTCTCGGCGGACGGCAAAACGTGCGTATGTGGTCCATATAATCGCTATCACAATACAATCACAGCAAATAAATCGACTACCAGAAGTAGGGGTATGGCATAGTATACACGCAGAAAAACAATGATGATGAAAATGGAGCAAGTTACATGCTCAGAAGACACTGGCCAGTGATTGCCTCTACAGTGCTCAAATGTGAGGATGAATATTTACTGAGCAGATGATCTGTTAGCTTTATTGCTCCTGGAAAAAAAAAACATGGCTGTTTGAATGTATCAGTACATGCAGCAGAATTGTGTTATATTCAAGGCGTTGGACCTTTCCTTTACAGCTTTTGTTGATTACTATGATCACTTTGCTGCCAGGAAGGCCTAGTGTAGCAGTCAATGATGACATATCGACTATTTACCGCAAGACATCTGGGCGCACTCATTTTGGGCTATTAACCTGTCGTTTCTTCGTTTCTTGTATTTAGGCGTTGCGACATGAAACATCTTTTGCGCCACCGAACCGTTTTCATGCGCGTGTGTCTAGGCGTGGCACTGTTCGTTTAGTTGTTAACACAAAGCTCAATGTACGGTCCTGCCCGCGGAGAAGTCCATAAGATTTGAGCTCATATGGACACTTTCAGGAGCGAAATAGGGAGTGAGTGAAGCATGCAACGTGTTTGTATCTTTCTTTCTTTCAGGTGTTCGAGCGGAACTCGTGTTCCCGGCAGTGGCTGGAGCGTCACGTGACCCTCAGTCACTGCGGTTCTCGTCCGTTTCCCTGCATTGTCGGCCGGCTGCGGGCAGCGGTTCGGCTCACAGGCGGCGCTGCAGAGGCACGTCAACGCCCACTTCGAGAGGTCGCTCAACGGTGGGTGTTGTTGCGGTGTTCTTTTCATCGACGGTATAGAGTAGAGCCTCGCGAACATGAAGGAATAGAACGCTAATTTACAGGTAACCAAATCATTGAGTTGACGTTATTGTAATGCTGGGGGCGATACCAAGCAAAATATTGCAGTGCTGTATCTTTCAAGGAACCTAATTTGTTATTATTCGCTCTCTTCTGCACATATTTTAAGCTTACACGGGTTGTTTCTTCGTGGTTAATGACGAAAATCACAATCGGTCTGACCATGTCGTATTTTTGTGTTCTTCTTGTGTGTGGTTTAGCATCTCTTTTTTTCTTTTTGGTTGTTCTTCATTAGTACTTCTTCGGTTCCTGTTCTGCCTTTTTAATTAATATTTGTTCATAAACCAGACATCCTACACCGGGTCGAGCTACAAGAGAGGAACAAACCTTAAGTTGCAATGTATTCGAAATTAGCAGTTTTTATTAAATATTGTGATTCAAGTAGATAGAAAAAGTATCGGCCAATTACGGGATCGCTGCGTCTTGTGTGATGCACGAGGGTCATGGCGTGTCTGGTCAACATCGCCAGGGTGCTGACGCCAGTGACTTTCGAAAGTCGTTGACCTTGTCGAATGGGGCGGCGTGACGCAACGCCATCTACTCCTGCTTCGTTTCTTCGCGCATGCTCAAAAGCTTCACTGGTGCATTGTGGGCATGGGCATTGCAGTCGTGATTGTAGTACGGGAACTAGGGGACAATTGGTCGCGAAAGGAGGTGTCGTGACCTGGAAGTTTCATTACAATATTGTTGTCAATAATTAATTCAGTTGTGCTCCTTTGCTAGTAGGCTTCAGTGGGGTGTTGTGGGAATCAGCATATACTATAGTAGTTGATTATATAGGCACCAATAAGCTTTGTAGACGCCCTGGAAGCATTATAGGGTTATTGTGACATCGCGGATGTTTCTAGGTCTTTATTGGCTTGTTCAAGGCGTTTCGTTGGCATTAGGAGCGTCACTTGACAGTTTCAGCTAATTATACAGCAAAACGGAGTGTGTTGTTTGAGCAACGAGCTAAAATACGTGTACGTCGTTATAGCAGGCGAAACTCCAACACAGCAAACGAGAAAAAAAAAATATTAAAGACAGTGTTGCAACGTTAAGTGAAGCGAACCTTTGAAGAGAGCATTATTGCAGCCCCTGTAAAACAATCAATAACTAATAAGAGACCAGAATACCTGACAACACAAGTGTTAAGCACACTTTGATTGAATAGTCAGTTGAGAAATAAGACAAAAGACTAGCCCATTGAGTGACGCACGCGCGTTGGCCTCTACAATTATTCTCCTCAGATTTTATTCAAACAGGCTTTTTACTTAACGTCTACGCGACTTTCATTTTGATATTCAAGGCCCCGCGCCAGTGACTGGAGGCGAAGAGAAATCGCATGCCTCCTTTGGATATGCGAATCAAATTAAATAGAAAAACTTTCTGATTGGCGTTTAGACGACGCATCGCTATTTTTTTATGTTTTGTCGCCTCTTTTAGCCAGGCTGTAATATAAACCCAGCGTCCGACACTTTGGTGCAATCTGATCGATACTAATGAGGGTGGCGACTTGGGCTTGTTGGTATGGTTGCATGATGATAGATGGTAGCGCAGACAACGAACACGGACAAGAGAAGGCACATAGACACAACACAGCGCTAACTTTCAACAACAGTTTATTACACGCAGATCTCCGTGGTGTATGCTAAGCAATGCCGGGTACCCCAAGAGCCTCGTCGTGTCCGTTGCTGAAGGATTGCACAGAAAAGTGCTGGAGAAAAGATGTGAAGCGATGGATAGGGTGAGCTCAAGAAAGGAAAGTTTTGCCGTAATTCCATACATGCATAAGGTTTCTCACAGGATAAAAAAGATTGCGGAAAAATGTGGCACTAACATAGTTTTCTCGGCACCCAATAAGTTGGTGAGTCTTTGCAGAAGCACAAGACCAGACAAGGGAAAATCAAATGTATGCCAAAAGAAACATAGAAACCTATTTGTGGAGTGCATCATGTGTGTGGTATACCTCATTCCACTTACTTGTGGAAAGTGTTATATCGGTCAGACCAGTAGATGCATAAACGATCGCTTGCGCGAGCACAATAACAAAGTAAATAGTGTTGTTCCTGATGGTTTTCTTTCCCTTCATTGCCTGAGATGTAAGTGCACACCGAAATTCAAGGAAACGGTTATAATCAATAGAAGTAGGCACGAGATGACGCGATTGGTATTGGAGGCCGGCAAAATTGCAGAGCTAGGTGACACGTGTGTGAGCAGCCCATCAGTGGTGTTGACAGATAAGGAACTTGATTACATGTATTCGCGATAGGGTTTGTGGTAACATGGGATAAAAGGAAGAAAGAAAAAGCAAAAAAAGATTGAAAAATATAAAATTGTAAAGTATTGGAACACGCGCGTTGGTTATATTTGATGGTTTTTAGAGCTACGCACGTGCGACGTTGGCGTGGTGGATCGCATACACCACGGAGATCTGCGTGTAATAAACTGTTGTTGAAAGTTAGCGCTGTGTTGTGTCTATGTGCCTTCTCTTGTCCGTGTTCGTTGTCTGCGCTACCATCTATCATCATGATCGATACTAATCTGTGGTGTACAGCTGCGGATCTGTAGACGATGTACGTGCTGCGCCCAAGGTCGGACGGGCAATTATTTAGCGCCGCGCCGAAAGCTTTGGCGACGTGCGATCATCTTATCCGATAACGACAACCATGCACGCCTGATGTTGGCTCGTACGCGCGGGTAGCTGTGAAAAGATCTAACACGTGTATAGTCAATCGAGGTGAATGTCAAACTGTAATACCCACTAAGGTGTTAGGACACCGTTCGCGAATGATATACAGATCAGCGTTACATGTGAAATCTACGAATAGACTGCAATCAAGATTAGATTACTCATTATACGATAAAGGGGCTTCTGAAGCGCTAAAGCATCATATCAATACGAGGCATGCTCAAGTGAAGGGCTCCGGAAATTTCGACCATCTGGTGTTCCTCAACAACCATCGGTGTTGCCCCGCCGTGGTGGTCTAGCGACTAACGTATTCGGCTGCTGACCCGCAGGTCGCGGGATCAAATCCCGCCTGTGGCAGCCGCATTTTCGATGGAAGCGGAAACGGTGTAGGCCCGTGTGCTCCGATTTGCGTGCACGCTAAAGAACCTCAGGTGGTCGAAGTCTCCGGAGCCCTTCACTACGGCATCTCTCATAGTCATGTGGTGGTTTGGGGACGTTAAAACCCACATATCAAATAAAAAGAAAACATTGGTGTTGCTTAACTGACATCGCATAGTACACATGCCTCCAGCTTATCACATTCATCCGAATGTGACCGTTGCGACTGGGATCGAACGCGCGACCTCAGCAGTTGGGAACAGTAAGCGCTAGATCACCGCGGCGTACCGAGTCAGGTGTACTACCCAACAGAAATGGCAGCTTCTGATGAGGACATTAGAAATAGCTGTTGTTACAGCCGGACTTATCTGTACGTACTGCAAGTCCTTGACGTGCGACTGACATTTTCTGTCGGGACTACCAAAGTGAGTTCTGTCGCATGTTTGTTGTTACCACAGAAGAGCTTAGGTAATACAACAATAGTTTGTAATAGCGGAAACATATGTGTTGTCACTACAAGCGGCGATTTGTCACAGCAGCTGTGTCGCAGAAATGACGCAAGTCTGACGTGTTACTACGGAAGCATATTAAGACAGCATAGTGCCAACACGGGTAGCCACTGTCATGTCACGTTGCAAAATTAAAGGACTTCATGAATTGCCCCGCCGCGGTGGTCTAGTAGCTAAGGTACTCGGCTGCTGACCCGCAGGTCGCGGGTTCGAATCCCGGCTGCGGCGGCTGCATTTCTGATGGAGGCGGAAATGTTGTAGGCCCGTGTGCTCAGATTTGGGTGCACGTCAAAGAACCCCAGGTGGTCGAAATTGACGGAGCCCTCCACTACTGCGTCTCTCATAATCATTTGGTGGTTTTGGGACGTTGAACCCCACATATCAATCAAATGACTTCATGAATTTACTGTTGCCGTATTCTGTTGTATTTTCCAACATGGGTGTAAGCAGACACGTGATCAGCATTGGCGATAACAACCTTTTGTATTCGCTCGGGGTCGTTTAATAAGAAAGAAGGAGAGAGACGTACTCAGGTTCGTGGCTTGCCGTGAAAACAGACATAAAAGCGGCAGATCGAAGTGCTTTTGTAGATGCAGCTTCCGTATTGTGAGGTGTTGAAACACCTTTCGCTTCGCGAAGGAACATCTATCTGATCGAGGTTGTATGTCAGGGGATCAGGATTGGATTCACATTTACGATCGAGAGCTTTATCTTAAGTACACAGACTCGTGAGCGGCATTCGAGCATCACTGAGATGTGTTCGGGGAGGAAGAGTAGGTGGGGCAGATACGTGATCAAATGTAACAACTAGCGAGATTTAAAACGTAACACTTACAAAAACGTTTACGTAGACACTATTTTGCGAGCGATAAAACATTGGGATTGCATTTATAGAATACAGATTACGATAGGGATCGCATTGAAGTATCTGAGACCTTCACTAACGCTTCTTCGTTTAATTCTCACGATTCGTGAAAAAAACTTTTTTTTCCTACTTTTTGCTTATCAGGATTTCACTTCTCAATAGCTTCGCGTTTTAGAGTACATCAATGCATTAACACGTAATCGGTTCAGGTGAACAAGCCATTATCAGGGCAATGTTGGGGAGTGGGGACATGACCGAAGGTGATAAGATCGTAGTTGTTAGAACTATCGGTAGGTGAAAGTACGCCATAAAGAGGTACGCTTTAGTGACGACTCAAATCATGGACTGTTGTTATAATACCCCATTACAATGAACTGGCCCAGTGTCGATGTGCCGACGCCTCGCCATTACCAATGTTAATGGCGCTGAGTTGTGCTGCCAACTGCGGCTGCAGAAGTTGCGTTCTTCCGTGTCTTCCTGCCTCTCAAGAGCATCGCGAATAATTATGATCACATTCATTGTCGTCATTCCGTCTTCCGCCTACACGCCATCTCGCTACGAATTCGTTTGCGTAAACGCTTCGCGTGTCATTCCTGCGTTTGTTTTCTGCACAGTCTTACTAAGTTTGAGTAGATGATGCGTACATTCATTACGCATCATCTTGTGGATAGGTTATATCCACAAGAATGTTACGGAAAAGCATAACATTATTAGACCGCACACCGAACGTTTCAGTGAAAAAAAAAGCTGCAGGGTCTCTAAGTGTGGCTTGTATTGGTATCCGTGTGCTCAGATTTGGGTGCACGTTAAAGAACCCCAGGTGGTCAAAATTTCCGGAGCCCTCCACTACGGCGTCTCTCATAATCATATGGTGGTTTTGGGACGTTAAACCCTACAAATCAATCATTTGTATTGGTATTTTTTGTTAGCGTAAATTTTTGGTGGAGGGGGGGGGGGGGGCAATGTTGCGACGTTTTGGTTTGTGCGGTTCCGCTTTCGCACCAGTGTGAACGCCATTCGCCACGCGACTCGCCCGTCTTTGACTCGCCAGTCGCGCGACCGCTGTCAATCTGGGGGGACCACTGCGAGCGCTCTTTAACGCCTCGAACTTTCGCAGTGTGCGGAATGGTGCTGTGCCGGGAGCTCCATGAACAGCGAGATTCTTCAGCGCAGCTGTCGCCGGCGATGAGCTAAAGGAAGACGCATGCAACGTTCGCATATGTACGGACATAGCTTCGCAGGTTGAAAAAAAAAAAAAAGGAACAAAGGGAAACGAGCACCGAAATTAGGAGAGTGGGTCTCGGAGTGGGGCTTCGTTGCGACGAGCAGTCTGTGTTCTGGCCATCGTCCGCCAGAGGGATGACACGTGCGCCGACCGCGTAATCCACCCCCTCCCCCCTTGAAAACAAAGATAAAGTCAAATCCAGACTAGGGGTGACGCTGGCCGAACGAAGAAAGAAAGGACACGACAAACCGGTAGATGGGAGTGTTTCAACGCATTGGTGGAGGAACCGATACAGTAAAAAGTAAAACTGCACTAAAGGAAACAAGAAGATTACGTAACCGAGAGGGGGGACAAGTACAGAGGCCGGGGGAGCTTTTAGCGACTCGTCCCGGAGCGCCGCCGCCGCTTCATCACCAGGGCTTTTCCCGCTGCCTATACGTCGGTCGTTTCGCTGCTGCAGTGAAGCTCGCTTTTGCCCCGTCTTTTATCTTTTATCTGCGAACGTCAGTCGTGCCGTTCCCTTCTATCGTGCCCGCCTTCCTCTATTTTCTCCCTCTCTTCAGTGTGTGTGTGTGTGCATGCTGTGTGCTCAAATAAGCATCCATTCCGGGGAGAGGCCGGTCTAAATGTGGACACCGCGGGTCACGGGCATGGGAATCCTGAAACACATTTGGCGACAGGGAGTGCCTGCTTGCTATTTCTTGCGCGTTTCCTTTGCACCGACTCTTTTAAATCTCCTCGTTGCGTTTGTAATTGCGGCATGCCTCGCGTATATATATATCTTATCGCAAATTTAGTGGCCGCGATTGTGCAAAGCGCGGTTTCTTTGTACTTCTGACGTATGCGCTGCTGCAAAAGCGAGTGCATAAGTGGGAATACCGTATTGGTCGTCTGAGGTTAGAGACACGTTTACGAGTCCGATTGTCGTTTTGACGGCATCGTCTCGCTGCGCGAGAAAAGCACCCGTTCCGCATGGACTTACCTTTATAAAAACTAGTATGCGGGTTTTGGTTGACATCTATCTATCTATCTATCTATCTATCTATCTATCTATCTATCTATCTATCTATCTATCTATCTATCTATCTATCTATCTATCTATCTATCTATCTATCTATGTTTTTTTGCCTTTGTCTCTCTAGTGCTATATTATCCGAGCTAATTGCCGTCTCAAAGAAAAAACTTTTCAACTGACTGTGCCTTTGCAGGCTCAGGTCCGGTGCCGTTGGGCGGCGGCGCTGGAAGCAGCGCCTCCGGGAGCGGCCGTCTCATCGGGCGGAAGCCTCCTCGGATCTCGGGGTCTGGGCTCGAAGGAGCTCGCAAACGGCGAGTCGCCGCTGAAGCTGCTCAGGCTGCGCAAGAAGCTCAAATGCCGGCGTCGAGCGTGGGCTACTGGTGAGTGAAAAGCTTTTTTGTTCGTTTACTCTTTCTAGGTGGTCTACTGAATCTACGCCCTGCAGTGAGTTATGGCGTCGGAATTAGGGCACTGTTTCTCGGAGGCTGGGCTTTGTCTGGCTGCACGCCTCTTGATACGCATTGCGGGCGACAGTATCTGTACGCTTACGCCCGCTTTAAGATGCCGCAACGCTCGCAAATTGCGTTGCCATACTTTTTTTTACTTATTTACTGAAACCTAGTGTCCTTGGTGCAATCTTTCGATAAACTTTTTCTAAGGGAAGTCATTGACATAGTCTTAATACCTGTATATACTAGCTATGTGTATTTTACAGCACGTTTTATCATCTGTAAAATATCTAACGCAGAGATCGTTATTCCTCTCGGGCGATAAAAAAAAAATGGCGTACCTAGCGGAGTGTTAGGACAAAGTTCGTAAAAGAAAACTTGTGAATAATTATGAACTGTAAAAAAATGAAGTACTCTGATTAGAGCAAATGGAAAATTATTACAAGCTTGGAATGTGAGAGTTAGTACCTAAATAACGAGTGGGATATAAAGAAAATCAAAATATGCTCCGAAAGAAATATATCTTATGCCTGAATCGTATATCATATATACCAACGCTTCCTGAGCATGGTGCGATAACGCTGTCGATTGGTAGTTGAGGCTCCCGAAAACACGCGAGCCAAGTACGCCGGCTTGGAATTTAAAATAAATCCTCAAAGTGGAGCTGAAGGTCGCTTTCTCTTCTTTCAACAAGTGATGCCATATACTCAAAAATCATCGCGTCATAGGCTCAAATGTCACGCCATTGGCTGATTTGAACATGGTGTGCTCGGGAGTTACAGAAGCCGCCACTGGAGGGCGTGACTTGTCTGTGCATCCGTGCACGATTGCAATGGAAAAACGCGCATTCGAAAAAAAAAAAAAAGAGAAATGCTCAAGGTTACGAGGCGCCCATCAATTACCTTCTTTCCCCGCGCTATCCCAGCTTGCTTAGCTTCCAGCGCTTTGGTCAGGACGAGGGTAGAGCGAAAACTATTGGAGCGTGCGACAACTATTTCTAATTCGGCTCGTACTGAACGTAATCTAAATATTTTTTATGTGGTCGATTCGCGAGGAAAAAAAGCTGTATTACGAAAGCCGCGAGGCGATTACTTTGGAAAGTGATGCAGGGATGTGTTAAGGTGTACTTTCAGAACTGACGATAGTTACAGCGCGAGAACAGAACGACGACACAGAGACAAGAAGGACACAAAGGACACGAGCGCTTTGTGTCCTTTTTATCTCTGCGTCGTCGTTCTGTTCTCGCGTTATACCTATCGTCATGTCATACCAACTAGCTCAAGCTGCGACACTTCAAAACTCAGTTTTGCATCGGTATTTTTGAAAACGTTATGGCATTCGCCAGAGCGAATCACAAAAACTAGGTGACAGGAGGTATTCAGATGACATAATTTATAGCGAAAATTCGTCGTCAGTGCGCCCCCTTCTCTCTTGTGCTCACGTTGAAAAAAAAAAAAAACGTAGTTCTCAAGTTACTTATGTGATTTAGAAGACTTTATTTATTTAACTATTATCTCTTCTGTGCCACGTTACTCTGCTTTGCGGGGCGCAGGTCTCCCCAGCGCTAATTCAATCTTTCGTGCAATTATCGGGTTTGCTTCGAAAGTCTGCCAGCGGCCTAATTTAATTACTGGTGCTGCTGACTCGCCGTCGAGTCTGCAAACATTCTTTCTTCATATTTAAAATATTTTTGCATGTCGTTTCTTTTGCAAGCTCGTCTTCTATAATCTCATTTCGGACAATGAAATGTCTATTGATGTTGGACGATTCAGTTATTCTTCGCCCGTGCACTCTTTTAGCAGAGTTGATGTGGGTGGTATGCAGCCACGCGTACAGCCTAATTGAACGTGAAGAAATTACGAAGTGGACTACCTTGCGCGAGTAACGACTCGTCAGCACTTTCTGTACGAAAATGCAGCTTGTTCCTGAGCGTTCCAGTGCACTCGGAAGACTGCATAGCGCATTCCAACGCACTGGGAGCATTTACGATTCTCTAGGGGAAAGTGGGCGTGTCGCGTGCACTCAAAGTCCCTAGATGGTTGTTTCCCGAAAAATCTAGCAGTCTTTAGGTACACGCTGTTTGCGATGTAACTGGGAGCTAGTCGCATTGAAAATCATTGGGATACGCTGTACTGGTTTTATTGGGAGGGTGCTGGATCGCTAAGGAAACACTGGATGACAGACAGTGTTAGTGCAAGCTCTTTTAAGACGTTGGCAATAAGATGCTTGCGACATAGCGAGACGATCAAATAACGCTGTGCAATAATGGAAACAAGAGCGCGTGCCAGCGGTTACAACGCTTACTGCGTTATCTGCGGTAATAGTTGTGTAAAATAAGATGTTCTAGCGTAGATTTGATATAATTCTTATGCTCAGAAAGTGCCGAGAGAGTTTAATCCAGCTTGGCTTGGTGCCGACGTTATTAACATCTACGTGCTTCATGTCCATGACGTCAGATGCTGACTTTCGCTTGCGGTTGCCTGGTACACACTTTGATACGATTTAAATATGTTTTATAGACTCTGTATTAGGCCTTTATACTTTTGATGATGTGAATGTTTGCCCACGCTAATCTACCTGGCAAGTCATATCTCGTTCAGTATATTCGGTCAGTGATCTTCAAGCCACAAGTTCTCCCAAGTCGAATGGTGTTCAGCTTATCCCCCATCGTAACCAGGTATTGACCTTTCTTTTTAGTCCTTAAAAGCAGGTGCTTCGCCGAATCTCGTAAAACATTATTTAAACTATGCCGATAGTTTTCCGTGCGATGATCTCGTGAAGGGAAAAGGCGATGTTTGCAAGCAGGTAGGGCTGTGGTCTCTTTACTATTCAAACGACCGGCCGGGTCACGGTTTTCGTTCCAAGTACGTAGAAGCTGAGATCAGTGGCCCCAGCCTCAACTTTTCGGCCTTCATACGCTGAATTCCGAGCGCACCGGCTCGCTTATACATTTACTAAAAGGGTACTAAAGGATGCAGAGTAGGAGCTTCAAGAAAGCGTGGCTTTAAACATCTCACGTGGAGGGCCAAAGGCCTTGGCGAGGTCTGCCGTTTCCGGAGCGTCAAAAGTACCCAGGCAAGGTTCGGGTTAGCTATGCATCCCCCTCGGGGCAAAAAAAGTGATACTTGCCCCGCGACTACACTCGGCGGTGTAGCCAGTATAGAAGGGAGTGACTTCACCGCACAACGCTGCCGCTGCTCGAACCAGTGTTCCTGTTATTAATGTCGTGTACTGTAACTTGCGTTTTTGTTCCTTCGTCGCTAGTTGCTTGCAACTCACCCTCCCGCCCTTCTTGCTGTGCGGCGCGTCCGGTCGCCCCTGGGGCATCGTTCGGTGAACGGGAAGAGGAGGGGAAATCCTATAGGAAGGGGGGGCGCCCTGTAATTCAACCGTGCCTCTGCGGGCATCGGTGCAACCCCTCTTCGGCTTTCCGGTTTTTTTTCTTTATTTTCAAACCTTCGTTTTCTGTACACACCCCACTCCGACGTGTCGGCCCCCTTTCGAACACCCCTCGTCCTCATAACAATTCGCGTTCTCTCGTCTACGAAGCCGCGGCCTTCCTGCCTTGCAGGGGCGGCAAGCAGGTCTGGGTCGTTGAGCCCTTCCTCAGTCGGAGCGCGTGGCGTTTTTGCCGCCGGGGAAAGCCTCTCACCTTTTTTTTTCTGTATTTACTACCTCCTCCTTCTTGCCTAAAACTTAACCTCCTCTTCCTGAGCCGCTTCTGCGGCCCGCGCGCACGCACTCAGAACCTCCGGTAGCGGCAGCCACTCTTCTTCAGCTTGTTTTTCTTTGCCGCTGCCCTCCTCTTCGCCCGCAAATATGGCGGCGCCCGTCCCCCACTGCGTAGAGTGAGAGGGGAACGGTGCTCTCTGGAGAGAGGGAATAACGAGGATCGACCAATGGGCGAGAAGAGAGCGGCGTCTTCCCGCGCCGCCTTGCGGCGGGAGTGGGAACGTCTCATGAAAGAGGCTTGGCGTTCCGTCGTCAGCTTTCGAGCAAGCAGACGATTTTTTTTTCTCTCGCAGTGATGTTTTACATAGCGAAAAGTGTCGTCCACTCGTAGGCTGCAGCGTGTTTGGCCGTGAATTCTAGAAGAAGGTGTGGAGCGTATAAAAGTAGCTTCTGAAGGAGTGAAACAAACATGAAACAAGGCTCAACCCAGAAAGAGAAGCGGCACTTGAAATACACATATAGAAAATAGTAAAAACGGAACATGGTGGAGGAAAATGAACGTGCTAGTGCGAAACGAGAGGGCAGGCATTCAATGTGGAAGGACGGGAAATAGATTGCAATGCAGCACAAACACACTCACTCTCGTGCGTGGGCAAGAAGCCGACTTCTCAGTATGGAAACAGACTCGCGAATTGAAAAGCGGCTGCTTTGAAGCGGGCGAATGAACAACCGCAGTTGATGTGGCTGCTGCCAGAGACGGACGAAATGAAGATGAAGATGGTGGTGGTGCCAATGCGGGAGGCCAGAGGAAGAGGTGGTGTCGAAATGAAAGACTCGATAGAGGGTTTGAGTGGAGAGAGAAAGGAAATGAATTGCCAGTTGATCTTGTGGAATACAGAAAATGGTGGCTCCAAGATGGCGGACGTGAATGGGAGACGAAAAAAAAATGAACATGTAAAGTCCTCGAATATCGTAGTCGAGGTTGCAGTATTAAGTTGGTGAGCGACGGCGTCAATTGAAATGCAGGTGCGAAAATAGAGGTGAATTCTATAATGGACGTATTTCATTGCCATACCGTGCTATTGATTCTGATTGTCTTGTTTAATGTGTGTGTGTGCTTTCTGTTTTTTTTTTCATCATGTTTATTTCTTTACTTCTTATCTGACATTAATCGGATGTGAAGTGTTTGATAATGTGTGTTAACTAGCGCTGTTGCCGAGTGTCAGCCGGATCTTTGTCAGGGCCTTTGTTGTCTATTG